TTTTTTATTGTTATTATTTTTATTATTATTTTTATTTATTATTATTATTTTATTATTTTTTTATATATATTTATTTTTAATGTTTTATTACACATGATTTATATAGCGCCAACAGTTTCAGCAGCGCTACACAAATAAATGAAGGGAGTATAATTACTACAAGAGGGGTTGGGAGGGCCCTGGTCCAGAGAGCTTACAATCTAAAACAGTCCACCCTGAGATGTATCAGAGGCCACTGCCTGCCGGCCCCCATCCACGTTGCTGATATATTTATTTATTTCAGGTACTTATATATCGCCATCAATTTACGCCGCACTTTACATATATATTGTACATTCCCATCAGTCCCCGCCCCCGAGGAGCGTACAATCTAAGGTCCATTCATACATACACATACTAGGGACAATTTAGACAGGAGCCAATTCACCTCCCAGCATGTCCTTGGAGTGTGGGAGGAAACCGGAGTACCCGGAGTAAACCCACGCAGACACAGGAGAACATGCAGACTCCATGCAGGTGGTGCCGTGGTTGGGATTTGAACCGAGCCGAGGCGGAAATGCCTACCATTTAGCCCCTGTGCTGCCCCATTGATCTGTGGGGGATGTCAGATTGCCGTAAATGAGCGCAGCCAATCAACATTCAGCTTCCTGCGTGTAGCACAGGTGCTGTCTCTGATTGGTCGCTGTGCGTTTCTGCGCTGTGTGAACATCATAGGTGTTCATGAACCTCCGAAAACAAAAACAAATGGATGTGCGAGACGATGACGACTTCCTTTACCAGCCATTAGGGGGCGCCACCCCCTGTCATTGATCCTATTGGTGGACAAATAAAAGTTTCCTTTAAAAAAGTCACATGTATAAAATCTGTACAGGAAAAATTAAAGGACACGTCCACCCTTCTACGAGGATCTGTCATCAGGATTCTTCGATTGCTGCTGGAGTCATCACCCGCCGGACTGGGGACGTCCATCCATCGCCTCCTGTAGGCTGGCTTGGGATGAAATCTTTATTCCGGTAACAAAGTTGCATTTCAATCTCATTTAAATCTGCATGGAAAGCTCCACACAGGGACTATCCCAACAAAACCTGGACACCACACAGGGACTATCCCAACAAACATGGAGAGCTCCACACAGGGACTATCCCAACAAAACCTGGACACCACACGGACTATCCCAACAAACATGGACACCACACAGGGACTATCCCAACAAAACCTGGACACCTCCACACAGGGACTATCCCAACAAAACCTGGACACCTCCACACAGGGACTATCCCAACAAACATGGAGAGCTCCACACAGGGACTATCCCAACAAAACCTGGACACCACACGGACTATCCCAACAAACATGGACACCACACAGGGACTATCCCAACAAACATGGACACCTCCACACAGGGACTATCCCAACAAAACCTGGACACCTCCACACAGGGACTATCCCAACAAACATGGAGAGCTCCACACAGGGACTATCCCAACAAAACCTGGACACCTCCACACAGGGACTATCCCAACAAAACCTGGACACCTCCACACAGGGACTATCCCAACAAACATGGAGAGCTCCACACAGGGACTATCCCAAAAAAACCTGGACACCTCCACACAGGGAGTATCCCAACAAAACCTGGACACCGCCACACAGGGACTATCCCAACAAAACCTGGACACCTCCACACAAGGACTATCCCAACAAAACCTGGACACCTCCACACAGGGACTATCCCAACAAATACTTCACACCTCCACACAGGGACTATCACAACAAACATGGAGAGCTCCACACAGGGACTATCCCAACAAAACCTGGACACCTCCACACAGGGACTATCACAACAAACATGGAGAGCTCCACACAGGGACTATCCCAACAAAACCTGGACACCTCCACATAGGGACTATCCCAACAAAACCTGGACACCTCTACATAGGGACTATCCCAACAAAACATGGATAGCTCCACATAGGGACTATCCCAACAAAACCTGGACACCTCCACATTGGGATAATCCCAACAAAACCTGGACACCTCCACACAGGGACTATCCCAACAAAACATGGACACCTCCACACAGGCGCTATCCCAACAAACATGGACAGCTGCACATAGGGACTATCCCAACAAGTATGGAGAGCTCCACACAGGGACTAGCCCAACAAAACCTGGACACCTCCACACAGGGACTATCCCAAAAAATATAGAGAGCTCCACACAGGGACTATCCCAACAAAACCTGGACATAGAGAAGTACCATAGACAGCTCTTCACAGGGACTATCCCAACAAAACCTGGACACCTCCATCCAGGGACTATCCCAACAAAACCTGGACACCTCCATACAGTGACTATCCCAACAAACATGGAGAGCTCCACACAGGGACTATCCCAACAAAACCTGGACATAGAGAAGTACCATAGACAGCTCTTCACAGGGACTATCCCAACAAACCTGGACACCTCCACATAGGAACTATCCCAACAAACATGGACAGCTCTACATAAGGACTATCCCAACAAAACCTAGACACCTCAACACAGGGACTATCCAAACAAACATGGAGAGCTCCACACAGGGACTATCCCAACAAAACCTGGACTCCTCCACACAGGGACTATCCCAACAAAACCTGGACACCTCCACACAGGGACTATCCCATCAAAACCTGGACACCTCCACGCAGGGATTATTCCAACAAACATGGAGAGCTCCACACAGGGACTATCCCAACAAAACCTGGACACCTCCACACAGGGACTATCCCAACAAAACCTGTACACTTCCACACAGGGACTATCCCAACAAAACATGGACACCTCCAGACAAGGACTATCCCAACAAAACCTGCACACCTCCACACAGGGACTATCCCAACAAAACCTGGACACTTCCACACAGGGACTATCCAAACAAAACCTGGAAACCTCCACACAAGGACTATACCAACAAAACCTGGACACCTCTACACAGGGACTATCCCAACAAAACATGGACAGCTCTACATAGGGACTATCCCAACAAAACATGGACAGCTCTACATAGGGACTATCCCAACAAAACATGGACAGCTGCACATAGGGACTATCCCAACAAAACATGGACACCTCCACGCAGGGACTATCCCAAAAAAACCTGGACACCTCCACGCAGGGACTATCCCAACAAATCCTGGACAATTCCACACAGGGACTATCCCAACAAAACATGGACAGCTGAACATAGGAACTATCCCAACAAAACCTGGACAGCTCCACATAGGGACTATCCCAACAAAACCTCGACACCTCTACATAGGGACTATCACAACAAATCCTGGACACCTCCACACAGGAACTATCTCAACAAAAATTGTACAATTCCACACAGGGACTATTCCAAAAAAACCTGGACACCTCCACACAGGAACTATCTCAACAAAACCTGGACAGCTCCACAGAGGGACTATCCCAACAAAACCTGGACACCTCCACACAGGGACTATCCCAACAAAACCTGGACAGCTCCACACAGGGGCTGTCCCAACTTAACATGGGCAGCTCCACATAGGGACTATCCCAACAAAACCTGGACACCTCCACACAGGGACTATCCCAACAAAACATATGACAGCTCCACATAGGGACTATTCCAGCAAAACCTGGAAACATCCACAGAGGGACTATCCCAAAAAAACCTGGACACCTCCACACAGGGACTATCCCAACAAAACCTGGACACCTCCACACAGGGACTATCCCAACAAAACCTGGACATAGAGAAGTACCATAGACAGCTCTTCACAGGGACTATCCCAACAAAACCTGGACACCTCCACATAGGAACTATCCCAACAAACATGGACAGCTCTACATAAGGACTATCCCAACAAAACCTAGACACCTCAACACAGGGACTATCCCAACAAACATGGAGAGCTCCACACAGGGACTATCCCAACAAAACCTGGACTCCTCCACACAGGGACTATCCCATCAAAACCTGGACACCTCCACGCAGGGATTATTCCAACAAAACCTGGACAGCTCCACGCAGGGACTATCCCAACAAAACCTGGACTCCTCCACACAGGGACTATCCCAAAAAAACCTGGACACCTCTACATAACGACTATCCCCAACATAACCTGGAACCCTTGGAATTCTCCCAGGCAGACTCAGCGGAGTCTCACTCATTGGATGTCCATTGGTGTCACAATTACCAACACACTTTTAGTTCCACAGCAGCAATGCTATCACCAGAGCTGCTTGTTGTCTCCATCAGGGGGCGCATATGGCAAGGTGACAACACAGGAGCCTAGTTTGAGATGGGGGCAGAGCGTTGTCACCCTATAACAGGAAGTGTCTCAGCCAGGAACCTTAATGGCAGGATCACCAGGGATTTTTTTTATGAAAGTTGCAGATACTGAAATATTGAAAACAACTTGACATTAGCCTATTAAAGCTTGTATGAGGTTTAAGCCTCGGGAGTGGGGCCCCTAAGTTGTCCTTCTCTTTGGGGGCCCCAACAATAGGCTGTGACTTTTCTTAGCTCAGGTTGTGACTGCAGATTGTTCTTCTGGATCTCAGGGCTTCTAATAATAACATGCAGGAGACGTCAGCAGAGTATGTGTGTCAGCGCTCACCTCTCCGCGTGTCACCACTGGGGGGGATCAGACACTTCGTCTCCCCGCCCCACACGTGTGACTACGGCTCTACTGATCCACACATCGCCCCCGCCGGGGGTGACAGATCGTCCTGCTACCGTATATACATGAAACTGCCGCCATCGGGCGCTGACCCCCAACAGCCAATAACATTCCACATTCCTGCGCTGTCATAGCAACAATTGTTATTTTGTCTGATAAAAATTACATTCCATATTTTACCTCCAGAAATGTTCATCTCAGTCCGGAATCACAGGAAAATCGCAGGAAAATCGCAGCAAATCGCAGGAAAATCGCAGAAAAATCGCAGGAAAATCGCAGTGACACCCACAGATATTACTGACTTACCTTCCGGCCTCCCCTTCAGTCTTGCACAGGTGTACAGGCTCCTCCCCTCCAGTCTTGCACAGGTGTACCGGCTCCTCCCCTCTAGTCTTGCACAGGTGTACAGGCTCCTCCCCTCTAGTCTTGCACAGGTGTACAGGCTCTTCCCCTCTAGTCTTGCACAGGTGTACCGGCTCCTCCCCTTCAGTCTTGCACAGGTGTACCGGCTCCTCCCCTCCAGTCTTGTACAGGTGTACCGGCTCCTCCCCCTTCAGTCTTGCACAGGTGTACCGGCTCCTCCCCTTCAGTCTTGCACAGGTGTACAGGCTCCTCCCCTCTAGTCCTGCACAGGTATACCGGCTCCTCCCCTCCAGTCTTGTACAGGTGTACCGGCTCCTCCCCTCCAGTCTTGCACAGGCGTACCAGCTCCTCCCCTCCAGTCTTGCACAAGTGTACAGGCTCCTCCCCTCCAGTCTTGCACAGGTGTACCGACTCCTCCCCTTCAGTCTTGCACAGGTGTACCGGCTCCTCCCCTTCAGTCTTGCACAGGTGTACCGGCTCCTCCCCTTCAGTCTTGCACAGGTGTACAGGCTCCTCCCCTCTAGTCCTGCACAGGTGTACTGGCTCCTCCCCTCCAATCTTGTACAGGTGTACCGGCTCCTCCCCTCCAGTCTTGCACAGGTGTACCGGCTCCTCCTCTTCAGTCTTCCACAGGTGTAGCAGCTCCTCCCCTCCAGTCTCGCACAGGTGTACCGGCTCCTCCCCTCCAGTCTTGTACAGGTGTACCGGCTCCTCCCCTCCAGTCTTGCACAGGTGTACCGGCTCCTCCCCTCCAGTCTTGTACAGGTGTACCGGCTCCTCCCCTCCAGTCTTGCACAGGTGTACTGGCTCCTCCCCTGGACTGGAATGGCTTCCTCTGATGTCACCGCACACGGGGAGCTCCTCACAATGTGCATTAGAAGCTGCAGCCAGTCAGAATTCCACCTCACTTCCTGGCTGGAGGACGTCCAGCATCATCTAGCATTTTCCTCCCCACCCTGGCAGTCCCTGGCCCCGCCCCTTTCACTCATTAGATTTCAGTTCATGCAACCCTGGAGGCTCAGCATCACATGTGGGCGTTACCTATGTAAATCCAGCCTGCCTAGGAAACGCCCACTCCTCCAGGCTGACACCCGCCCCACCAAGGCATTTTGATTTTTGTTTAACTATGGGGATGAGGATGATGATAACGATAGGGATGAGAGGTAGGGCTAGGGATGCTGGGGGGGATGGGGATGAGATGATGATAACGATAGGGATGAGAGGTAGAGCTAGGGATGCTGGGGGGGATGGGGATGAGGATGATGATAACGATAGGGATGAGAGGTAGAGCTAGGGATGCTGGAGGGGATGGGGATGATGATGATAACGATAGGGATGAGAGGTAGAGCAAGGGATGCTGGGGGGATGGGGATGATGATGATGATAACGATAGGGATGAGAGGTAGGGCTAGGGATGCTGGGGGGGATGGGGATGATGATGATGATAACGATAGGGATGAGAGGTAGGGCAAGGGATGCTGGGGGGGATGGGGATGATGATGATAGGAATGATGCTATAGGTAATTTTTTTGATGGGGATGACAGGTTGAAATGACACTGAGGAGGGAGATGATGATGATGATAGTAGATAGGGTTGATGATTCTGAGAATGATGATGGGTAGGGATTGAGATGACAATGAAGGGAATCAAAATGATGGTGAGAGGGACAGAGATGATAAAGATGATAATAATGATGATAGGAATGACAGGTAGGGTTGGATGATGATAGGTAGGGATGGGGATGATGATGAGGATGGGAATGATGTTAAGATTGATGATGATGGGTAAGAATGGAGATGATGAAGATGATAGGTAGGGAAGGGGATGATGATTGGTAGGGATGGTGATGGGGATGATGATGATGGGGATGATGATGATGGGTAGGGATGATGATGATGGTGGTGGGTAGGGATAATGATGGGGATGAGGATGGGTAGGGATGATGATGATGGTGGTGGGTAGGGATAATGATGGGGATGAGGATGGGTAGGGATGAAGATTATGATGGGTAGGGAAGATGATGATGATGATGGGTAGGAATGATGATGATGATGGATAGGGATGATGATGATGGGTAGAATGATGATGATGATGGGTAGGGATGATGATAATGGATATGGATGATGATGGGGATGCTGATGGGGATGGGTAGGGATGTAGATGAGGATAATGCTGATGATAATGGGTAGGGATGATAGGGATGATGATGGGTATGGATGATGATGATGATGGTAGGAATAATGAGGATGATGATGATGGGTAGGGATGATGATGATGATGATGATGATGATGATGGGATGATGATTATGGGTAGGGATGATGATGGGGATGCTGATGGGGATGGGTAGGGATGATGATGGGTGCGGATGGTGGGGACGATGATGACGATGATGGGAAGGGATGATGGGGATAATTATGATGATGATGATGGGGATGATGATGAAGGGTAGGGATGATGGGAATGATCATGATGAAGGGGATGATGATGAGTAGGAATGATTGGGATGATGATGATGTCGATGATGATGATGGGTTGGGTTGATGGGGATGAAGATGATGGGTCAGGAATGATGGGATGATGATGATGGATCGAGATGATGGGATTTCCTTATGATGATAAGGATGATGATGATGGGTCAGGATGATTGGGATGATGATTAGGGGGATGATGATGAGGATGATGATGATGGTTTGGCAATGATGGGGATGATGATGAAGGGTCGGGATGATGGGGATGATGATAATCATGATGGGATGATGAGGATGGGGATTATGATGATGTGTCGGGATGATGATGATGGGTCGAAATGATGATAATGGGGATGATGAGGATGATGATGATGGGTTGGTATGATGAGAATGATGATGATGGGGTCAGTATGATGAGGATGATGATGATGGGTCGGGATGATGAGGATGGGTCGGGATGTTGAGGATGATGATGATGGGTCAGGGATGATGCGGATGATGATGATGGGGGATCGGGATGATGAGGATGATGATGATGGGTTGGGATGATACGGATGATGATGATGGGTCGGGATGATGAGGATGAGGATGATATGATGATGGGTCGTCGGATGATGAGGATGATGATGATGGGTCTGGATGATGAGGATGAGGAGGATGATGATGGGTCGGGATGATGAGGATGATGATGATGGGTCTGGATGATTTGAGGATGATGATGATGGGTCTGGATGATGAGGATGATGATGATGGGGTCGGGATGATGATGAGGATGATGATGATGGGTCGGGAGGATGATGCGGATGTCGGAACGTGGTGCTGATGTTTGGAGTCCTCCTCCCCCTCTACCCCTCCTCTCTCCTCCTCTCTTCGGATTCTCTCTCTTCCTCCATCCAGTGTACAGCGGGAGCTGCTGGGGCCCCTGACAGCGGCATGCTGCTCTCCCGGGGCCCCCTGGCG